TATCTGAGCAGGGCACCCACTGGGTGGGAATTCACCCAACTTCTTCTTCCCCCTCCCTCTGACTTGAATTTAGTTTTTCCCTCATATGACTATGTAGTTGTTAATCTACTGGTTGTAATTAAGTACTGAGTACATATGATGCTTTTTTTTTTCCATTCTTATGATACTTCACTTAGGAGAATGTTCTCCAAATCTGTCCAGGTTGTTACAAAAGATACGAAATTCCCATCTTTTTAAGGCTAAATAGTACTTCATGGTATACATATACCACAGTTTATTTTTAGTAGAAGCAGGGTCTTGCTTTTTCTCAGGCTGATCTTAAACACCTGAGCTCACACATTCCTGCCTCAGACTCCTAGAGGGCTAGGATTAGGCATGAGACATCAAACCTGAACATTAATCACTCGTTTTTTAAGACTTGGATCAACAGGTCTTTACAGTAATGCAAGATAGCTATACTGTATTGCTAATTTTTTTGACATCTCAAACTATTTTTTTTATAATGTTTCTAAGTTTGAGATCTGGTTTTCAGCGTTTTATAAAAATTTCTACTTTGCCTTTTTCTTTTACTCTGCTATTACCTGGAATTGTTTAAAGTTAAACATGTTTGGCAAATCTTCATAATATTGGAAATTATACGAAATATCTATTGAAAATCTGCCCTTGACACAGGGGTTTGGGGGCAGGGGAAAAGCTAAAACAACAACAAAAAAAGAAATTGTGTAACTTAAAAATCATTCCTATTATATGTATAGGATTTGTTTCGTTTAATTATGAGGATGAGAATAGCCAATTATTTGTTTCCCTATCAAAGAATATCTTCAGATTCTTATAAAAATTTCCTGAAGTTGTTTAAATAGATAATACCAGGAGAATTCCAACATTCATGGTGTTATTCTTTGCCCCTTCAAATTAGTTTTTCAGTTCTATTCAATTTTTTATTTTAATAGAGTATAATTGTAAAAATAATAAATGTTTTAAATAAATAGACATCTGTCGTACATTGTTAAGGCTTTATGTAACTTATTTAATTATAATTTAAAACATAACACAGTAACATAAATGCGAACACGTAAGATTTTTATAGTTTTCAAATCAGGGACTGCCTTGAGAAACAGCATATGAGAAACAGAAGATCTCTGCTCAATAGAAACTTCTTAAACAAAGGGAGACTTTCTTTTACGTACTTAGGAAATAAGGTTAACTTGGCTTTCCTCAATAATACTGGCTTTATGAGTACTAGGAAAATAATGAAGTGAAAGGTTCTTTTTCTGTTAGATTTGGATGTGAATTTTCAAAATTATTTTAAATTTGTTATGCTGAAGATTTACAACATATGACCATTCAGTGAGTTGATGCAGATGGAATGTCACATCACCATCACATGGGAAGCATGAAATGTATTTACTTTACACAACTCGATACAGATATTCCCCGTCAATAGACGGCATTATACAGGACTCAGCATTTTCATTTTTTCTGCAGATTTTAAAAAATACTATCATTGTCTGTCTTTGACTAGTACTTCCAGTAAACAAAATGTTTTTGAAAAGAATGTAAGCAAATTGTAGAGCAGTTGCCAAGATAGGAAATCTAGTCACTTAGCTTCAGTCCAAAACATATTTTATCTGTCTTCAAAATAATTGTGTAGGTGACAGTATGCATATTTTAAATGAAATGTTAACTCTCTGAACTTTACATTGTTCAAAAAAGTTGATTGTTTCAGCTGTTTATAATAGAAAATATTTCAGAATTTCTAGCTCTGTTCTTTTAAAAAAGCATAAACTATAATGTTCTTGTTTTCTTTAGCTTAGTGTGTTCTTTCATTGTAAATTCATCTGGGTTATAGGATTTTAAAATTATCAAATTCTTAGACTACAGGACTAAACTTCTGTTCTTTGACTATAAAATAGTTTGAAATTGTCTTTTCTTTCTAACCACCCACTGAAGTATTTTTTAAACATAAAAATATGTTGTTCTTTCCCCCACTCAGGCTTGAAAAAGTATTCATCATATCAGCTAAATAATTTTCCTCCCGGAAGACTACTAACCTTTTAGTTTTTTTCTATTTTATCTTAACATTAAACGAGACCTTTTTTCAAACAGATACTTCAGTGTTTAAAAACACTGAGGTTTAAATTTCAGACATGATGAATTTTAGGAGAAACAACAAAAATTCCCCCTTATGCTTTAACATTCTAGATTTATCTTGAGATAAAAGATAGAGCTATTAGTTTTGGTAGCACAAATGTACATTAGTGTACAGCTATAGTCCTCAGTTCTTTATAAGGATTCAGCCATCATGCATGCTGTATGAGGGTCATACCTTGCCTATTAATAATGTTAATGCTCTTGGTAACACTATTCATCACTGTTTTAGGGATTCATTTTAACTGCTAAAAATGCTTACTTGAGATTTGTCTAGGATTTAAGTAAAAGCAAACTGTTTATTACTTTTCAAAGCCTTTTTAGTAATTTCTTGCATAATTTAAATTTTCTGATACTTTAATAGAAATATGATAATTTTTCTTTTTAAATAATATCGGTAAAAAAATTTTAAAACTATAGATTTGGACTCACTTAATATCAATTATGTGTTTAAGAGGTATAAATAACTCGCTATCAGACATTACAAATATCCAGGTGCTCTGTATGTGCTGATGACAACAGAATTGAAAAGAAAGACTGTAATAATTCTGACTGGTTTTCTCTGCAGAAGATATTGATTATTTGTGTGTGGTGAGAGATTTGGAAAATTCAATTAAAGGAGTTGTGCAAAGGTTTCATAAATCCCCCCTCTGCAGCGTGTACACAGACATTGTTGCCTATTAAATCAATGCAGCACTTCACAATATATTTTCTTTGAAACATAAAAATAAATAACATTTAAACAGTTCTGCTTACTACAGAAACAAATTTTATTTTCTGTGAAGCATTTAGTCATGTGCTATCACTGACTCATACACATTTGCCAGCTGTAACAAATTTTATAGACGTTTTCCCCAGAGACATATCTCACATACTATGAATTTTTAAATGAGCAAATGGTGAAGCGGGGATGTCAGCAATATAAAAATTGATCAGTACAAGATAAAAGCATAAGCAGAGAGATTTGTATGGTAGTCTTAATAGGTTTTATTAAATAAAAATACTATTAAAAGACAGTAATGAATAGACTGAAGACTAACTGTTCTTGAGGTAGGGAAAAATTATTCTGGCACATTTGGTAGAAATTGGTTTAATGTCACCTGACAGGTGAACTTTTTTCCCATTTTAACCCATAGTCAAAAAGCTCCACAAAAAAGAATAAATTCTCCCACGAAGTGCTTTGTATATTTAAACACACATGTGAGAGAGCAGTGTTTACAGTGTGGTGTCGCTCTTCACAGAGTTAAAAGCAGGACTTGAGTAACTATTAAGTACGAGGTGATTTTTCCTCCTGCTCAGACCTCAGATAGGAGGAGGATGGTCATTTTTATTTAGGCCATTCACCCCGGATGCTTTAGCCCTCTGGAATCTCTCTTTCAGCACTCCAGGCCCCTCTGCTGCTTTTCACAACCTCACCTCAGTTGCCCTCTCTTCCTTCTCTGTCCGGAACTCATGCCATCTTTTAAGGTCTATCTCAGATGTCACATCCTCTCTGCAGCTCCCCCAGCCCTCCTGGGTGCAGCTAGATGGCTTTGTCTTCTAGGCTGCCACCACCCTGTCTGATCTTAAGAAGGACTGCAATTGTCTGGTGGTAGGGCTCTTCCTGGGCTCCTCTCTGGCAAACAGAGCCCAGCGCAGAGCCTGGACACAAGGACCACAGGCCATGCAGTGGGTGTGTCAGTGGAGGGGAACAGATGCCACTCTAAGAACTTTCTAAAGAATTGGCTCAGTGCCTGTAGCACAATGGTTACGGCACCAGCCACTTACACTGAGGGTGGCGGGTTCAAACCCAACGTCAAGCCCACTAAATAACTGCAACAAAAAAATAACCAGGCGTTGTGGCAGGCGTCTGTAGTCCCAGCTCCTTGGGAGGCTGAGGCACGAGAATCACTTAAGCCCAAGAGTTGGAGATTGCTGTGAGTTATGTCACCACGGTACTGTACCCTGGGTGAAATAGTGAGACTGTGTCTAAAAAAAAAAAACACAGAACTTCTAAAGAATTAACTACATATTTTCAAATTGCTATCTCCTTATACACCCACTAATGTTTATTGAACGTCTGCTATGAGCCGGGCACCACTCCAGCCCTGGGGATACACTGATAGCAGGACTGATACCTGATGGTCCTGCCCTCAGGACTGGAGAATCCAGCATAAGTGACAAGGAATTATAACAAACCATTAAAGGTGTACTAACCATGTTACTAAGCATGCATCAAAACAATAAATGTCTTGGCAGTTTTCATGAGAAATTTTAAATGTACATTCTGAAGTAAAATCAAGCTAATCAGTAGGATGATACAAATGTATAGCTCTAAAGCTGCTATTTATAATGTAAAATAAAACTTAATGTTTAGCTTATTTTAATTTCATTTTGATTCAGCATTTATTCTGCATCATATACTGTGATGAGTTACTTTGAACTACTTTCTAAAAAAAAAAACTTTCTTCTTTCATACAGAATGTCGTCTTGACAGCTATGAATTCCTTAAAGCCATTTTAAACTGAGGTACTGTTTTAACTTACTAATTCAGTTTAATGTTGTTAAATTTCACTGTGTTTTATTTACATTATCAGATTTGGTACTGTCTTTCCATAAGAAACAGGGACACGAGCTTTGGACATTAGTTGAAATTATATGTATTTTATCTATTCTACAAACAGTAGGAAAGCATAAGATCTGTGAGTTGGAGGCTGATTAAAAAAGAACAACTCTCTGGGAGGCCAAGGCAGGTGGATTACTTGAACTTGGGAGTTCAAGGTCAGCCTGAGCAAGAGTGAAACACCATCTCTAAAAATAGCTAGGCAATGTGGCAGGCGCCTGTAGTCCCAGCTAGTAGGGAGGCTGAAGCAAGAGGATCACTTGAGCCCAAGAGTTTGAGGTTGCTGTGAGCTATGACACCACAGTGCTCTACCAGGGTGATAAAGTGTGACACTCAAAAAAAAAAAAAAAAAAACTGAGGTCGGGAGCAGTGCCTAACACCTATAATCCTAGCACTCTGGGAGGCCAAGGCAGTAGGATTACTTCAACTCAGGAGTTCAGGACCAACCAGAACAAGAGCGAGATCTTGTTTCTACAAAAAATTAGCCAGGTGCATGCCTGTAGTCCCAGCTACGGGAGGCTGAGGCAAGAGGATCACGTGAGCCCAAGAGTTTGAGGTTGCTGTGAGTTATGATGATACCATGGCACTCTACCCAGTGTGACAGAGTGAGACTCTGTCTTGAAAGGAAGAAAAGGGGGGGGGGGGAACAGCTATTGAATGTATTTTTAACTGAGTGTAAATAGGGCACTATAAATACAGTAATAAATTCTAACAGATGGGTTACATTTCTATAAGACACATCTGACTGAACAAGATGTAACAAATACATTGCGTTTTGAAATTGTGCTAAATTAAGTAAATAATTATATATTAATTAGTTATACCTTCAAAAGGATAACTAATTAGGATAACTAAAAGTAAAAGTTGTACATTTATAAATAGCTTATTATAACATATATGCTAGAGGCAGTATGACTCATGAGCTGATCTAAGTGCCTAGTGTATGTGTAACTGAGCTCTCAAACTAAAAACTGGCATCATTGCAGACTTTGTGCCATCAGTATTCAGATTTTTAGAAGTTAATCGGGTGTTGCCTGCTATCTCTTAGAGAAAACAAAGCAAAGTAGAATTATATTTTTATCCGCAAAAGACTTTTCTTTGGAAATGGTATCTCAAGAAACAAGTTGTTCTTAAAGATTGTAAGAATCTTACATAGAAAGTTGTGTCACTTCATTCATTAAAATGTTCATTCTGTTGTATACAATAAAAAAATAGCCTATAATAATAGCTAAGATTATTGCTGACTTTCTGTGTGTCAGGCAGTATTCTAAGTGCTTTAGCAGGTATCCCATTTAGTCTTCATGACACCCTGTGAAATAGACACAGTCATGATCTTTCTGTTATAGGTGGTGAGTGTGAGGCATGAAATGGGTAAGTGCCCTGTCACAGCCAGGGTCCTAAGCTAAGCGGTTTGGTGCTGTAGCCCATGCTCTTGACCACTACACACTAATAATCTATGCATATCGGGTTTCAGTGCTGGCCTAGGATTTTATATCCTATTAAGGATATATTCATTCATTTTAAGGGTAAACATTGCATAAAATTTGTGATTCATCATAAAAATGATGGAGACTTTACATCTTTTGTATTTACCTGGATGGAGCTGAAACACAGTTTTTTTTTTTTTGTTTTTTTTTTTGAGACAGAGTTTCACTTTGTCACCTTTGTAGAGTGCTATGGCCTCATAGCTCACAGCAACCTCAAACTTCTGGGCTCAAGCAATTCACTTGCCTCAGCCTCCCAAGGAGCTGGGAATACAGGCCCTCACCACAATGCCCAGCTATTTTTTAGAGACAGGGTCTCGCTCTTACTCAGGCTGGTCTTAAACTCCAGAGTTCAAGTAATCTACCCACTGTGGCCTACCAGAGTGCTAGGATTACAGGCATGAGCCATAGTGCCCAACCCTATGAAACACATTCTTCTTAGTAAAGTGTCACAAGAATGGAAAAACAAGTATCCAATGTACTCAATACTAATACGAAACCAAAATATAAACAACTACATTCCCACACAAAAGAAAGACACAAGTCTATTTCCGTAAGCGGGAGGGGAGAGGTGTGAGAGGGGCAAGAGGAAGTGGGAGAGGGATGGGTGGGATCTCACCTGATTGGAACAGTGGGAGGGTGTTCACACTTGAGCTTGACCTTAGAAATGAAAAAAAACTGAGGTGGGAGCAGCACCTCACACCTGTAATCCTAAACATAGCCTAAACCCTCACGTTAATCCAGAATTTATGTATGTTTGTGACGTACTCAGCACAGTGCCCAGCACATGGCGACATGACCTGCTAGACACGATTTCCAGCACACACACCAAACCTCTGGATTTGTTTCACTTGTCTGTTCTGTAAGGAGAGACAGATTTAAACCAACTTTGAGATAGTCTTATGGATTTAAAAATATACATTAAATCCAATTCACTATTTGGTCTGTAAACAAAATGTCACCGTATTTTTGCAGCAAGGTGTCTTTTATGTAGGCTTACAATTTATATTATGCTGATTTTCATTTTTAAAACTATAGTTTGTAGGTGTACTCATGCTATTCCTTTGAAACATTTTTAATGTACCTTAGTGACATTATAAATTTCTGGATGAAACTCTCTGTTAACTGAGTTTTAAATCTGAAGTTTGCAAACCCTGTGAAAGTGCTTTAAAATATTTTTTCTGGGTTCTGAAAATCCAACAGAACTTTTCCATTAAACGGTGACCACAGATACATATTCTTAACCTTTTTGTGCCGTGGCTTCCTCACCTGTAATAACCAGTTAAATGTTTAAATAAATGAACATACACATTCAGTATATGAGAGTCTTACTAATAGTCTCACTAATAAACTTATGGGGAATTCAGAATACTGAGAAAAGCTTTCTGTTCACGGTTTCTAGTAAAGACCATCTCAATTTAGGAATGTTCTTTTGTTTTGTTTTGTTTCAGGAGAGAGCACAGTGCAATCTCACACTCCCTCGGCCTTCATAGGCCCATGCCACTATGCCTGGTTATTTATTGATTGATTGATTGACTGTAGTGATGGGGTCTTGCTGTGTTGCCCAGGCTGGTCTTGAACTCCTGACTTTCCAAAGTTCTGAGATTACAGGCGTGAGCCCCCCGCACCTGGCCTGGGTTTGACTGTGTTTTCGTCCCACTTTGGGCACTCTGTTTGTGATCTCTTCTATCCCCTGGACTTTAGTTCTCACTTTAGTGCGTGTGGTTTCTGCAGCTAACGGTGGCCTCCCTCCTGAGCACCGCAGTCTCAGGGCCCATGCGGTGTCCCTCAGGTATACGGATTTCTTCATTTCCCCTTCAAAATTGTTTCTCCCTATCCAGGAATTGCATCATTCCATTGATCAGGCTAAAAACCTCACAATTCTGACTTTTGTCTGCGCATCCCAAGTGCTTGCAGATCCTCTTAACTTCTGGAAGTGCCTCGTCCTCCTCTCCGGGCCCCTGGGCTAGCTCCTTCCCACACTACCTCTCTTCCAGACTGTTGTCACCCCCAGGATGACCTCCCTCTCTGCCCTCCAGTCCTGCCCAACAGCCTATGCTGCTCCTGGACTCATCTCTGCTTTAGAAAATGTCGCTGAACCATATTCACATATTCCAAATTTAAACTGACTTTCAGGCCTCTCCAGTTTCTCCATTGTGCCCCATTCATTCCAGATCACTTGCCATTTCCCAGACGCATTCCCAGAAAGTGCCTTTCCTCCTTACCTTTGTCTGTCCCCCCTGCCTAGCGAGCCTTTTCTTCATTACTGTCAAAAGTTTACCCATCTTTCAAAACCCTCTTAGAACTCACCCTCTACTCGGCCTCCCAGGCCCTCCCTCTGCATCCTTGTTCCTCTTGTGCACTTGCCACGGCTGCCCTGCTGATGGGAACAGGGAGGACACAAGCTCCTTGATTTTGTCCTGTGACCCAGAAACCTGACAGGTGCTGTGTCCTGACACACCACAGCCACCTTCCCTGCCTGCACGGCAGCTCCTGCCTCCCCCACACTTCAGAGATTACTTCTCTGGACCTGTCAGTCAGTGTCTAGAGGGGAGGACTGTGGCACACAGATTCTTTCCTAGAGCCTTAAAAAGTGAAGGCTTTATGAGGTGTAGTTAGAACAGGAGAGAAAGGAAGGGGACAGCAACCCACAGGCCACAGGCACAGTGCTAAGACCACCGAACGATGGGAAGAGACAAACATCATGTGGCCGATAGAAACGGAGGCTACTGGGATACTCTATCCAATAACAGTGTAATCACTTGGTTCACAAAAGCTGAGGCTTGGTATGAATAAACCAGTGTATATGGTAACAACCTTTAGGTCCTGAAAATCAAGATAAGGACATAAGGCTTATGTAGAGGAAACAACAGCACAGGCATAAGGTAAGCCACGGGAAATGGTGAGTGCAGACTCCTGTTTCCAATAGCAAGGTCAGTGAGTCCAGGGAGGGTCAAGGCCTTAACACGAGCGGTGGAAAACGGATGACCAACTCGGCAGGCCCTCTATAGAGGCTGGGGGTGACTGAGGTGATTTATGTCTTAATGCAGGGGTGGGACCTCCTCTTTTCCACACCGAATCCAAATCTTGAGCTCTGTTGCTTTCCTGAACTTGAGGAAGCTCATCTTTGTGATAGGCCCCTGAAGCAGTGGACACCACAGATGTCCCGTTACAAGTTTGGTTGCAAGTCAGAGCAGCTGGATGGGTTGGTCTCCTTACATGAGGCTAGGAGGCAGAGAAGGCCTCAGTGGACTAGAGCAGGCAGTGACCACACTAGAGTAGGCAGTTCCCACTGTGTGGGAAACCACACAGTGGGGAGGAAAGTTGTGTTAAATGGTGACCTGTAGGCTGGGCATGGTGGCTCATACCTGTAATCCCAGCACTCTGGGAGGCTGAGATGAGTGGATGGCCTGAGCTCAGGAGTTCAAGACCAGCCTGAGCCAGAGCGAGACCCTGTCTCTACTGAAAATAGAACAATTAGCTGGGCTTGGTGGCAGGTGCTTGTAGTCCCAGCTACTCTGGAGGCTGAGGCAAGAGGATCACTGGAGTCCAAAGTTAAGGTTGCTGTGAGCTATGACGCCATGGCACTCCACCCAAGGTGACAGACTGAGACTGTCTCAAAAAAAAGAAAGAAAGAAAAGTTACCTGTAATATTACTAGTGAAATGTAGACCAGTGAATGTTCTGGACTTTGACCAAATTTGTCACACTTCCATGGGGCGTAGAAAGAGGAGTTGACCAAAGTTCCTTCCCCTTCTGATGAACATGAACTTCCCTCTCTACTGCGAGTACCACATGAAGAACAGACAGTGTATCAGGAATTCACAGCAGACACACAACACGCAGGATGGGGTGACAGGGTCACTTCCTGGACGTCCGGTGGGGTGTCTGCCACCAGTTACCAATGCCACTTCTTTCAAAGGCTTCCTGTCACGTGAGGTCTTAAGACCACGGACAGGAGCTCCTGCTGCCACTGGGAGCCTCCAGAGGGGCACACTGAAGAGGCGGCCTGCAGAGTAGACACTTTTTTTTCTGAAGCAGTTGTTGGAGGAGACACCTGCTGAGGGTCCCTGAGGCTTATGGACAAAGGCATGTAAATTTGGTGCTTTTCTAAGTCATACTGGAGTTTTAAAATTCTCTCACAAGTGTGTCATTTAAGTTTGGTCACTGTAAAGAGCAGCCACACTGACAGGTATTTGTGAGGCTGAATCTGGCTTAGGATACTCAAGTGAGCAAATGAGAAATCACCAGTGTCTAACTGAACTAGACACTGAATCACATGAACATTAAACTCATTTCTTACGTCACGTATGAGATGCATGTTCGTTTGGAAACTGATTCTTGATGATGTAATCACCACCTTTTTGTATCCCACAGGCATCTAGAAGAATGCAGTCCCTGTGAGCACCACTCTGCATCTGTCTGGTCGCATTTAAGGGAACAGAGAAGTCTGTGTAACTTATCTGACGAGTAAATACCAGCTCACGGCACGGGGCAGGTGCAGGTCTAGATAAGATTTCTGCAGCTAATTTAAACTTTCTACACACACCAAAGATACTCTCAGTTTCTTCTTGACCTTGTAACTTTATGTTAAAGCCAACGTGTACAGAAGATCCTGTCTTGTGTCCTGTGTCACGTGTTTCTGCTGCTTTCACTGTTGGTGGATGGACTTAATAAAGCGTATCTGAAAATGGCACCTTTGGTAGAGCTACGTAGTCCTGAAATTCAGATTAAATGTAACAGTGAATGGATTTAGGTGCTAGTTTTCACACGTAATAAGCCCCAGCTGCTTATTAATCTACAGATTCATTTTAAAATCTTTTAATTTATTTTTGGAGACAAAGTCTATGTCACACTGGGTAGAGTGCCATGGCGTCACAGCTCACAGCAACCTCAAACTCTTGGACTTAAGTGATTCTCTTGCCTCAGGCTCCCAAGTAGCTGGAACTCCAGGCACCCACCACAAGGCCCGGCTATTTTTTTTGTTGCGGTTGTCGTTGTTTAGCTGGCCCGGGCCAGGTTCAAACCCACCAGCCATGGTGTATGTGGCTGGCTCCGTAACCACTGTGGTACAGGCACCACACCTAAAATCTTTTAATTTATCTAGAAGTTTGTTGTGTAGTGAGTATCCCAAGGATAAGAGAGAAAAATTATTTTTTAAGTTTTAAAATTTCACACCTTTATAAAATATGAGAATGCCTTTTTCAGTACATTTAGATATTAAGGTTTATGAACTAAACCACACAGACTGCTGGATCTGGAGAAAAGGCCTTTATTATGGGCAGCAGGTGATCTCTTCCAAATTATTTGAAGCATTTAAGCTTCTGTTCTAGGTTGTTTTGTGGCATCACCTGTGTGTGTCGTCACAAACGGGGGGACAATTACAGAATGTTATTATCTTGATAAAAAATGTAAGTCCTGACAAAATTAGTATAAAATATCACCATGTCATTTGATTCAGTATATAATGAAAATAAAAACACTCTAGAAATCTGAAACAAAATTTAACAAATTAAGGTTGAAATAATTCATTTTCCACTTAGAGAAACATGACAAAGATTCACCTTTTAAAATGAAAGGTATTTTTTTTTAAAAAAACTTAATATAAATAATGTAGTTATTAAACAATAACCCACTTAACTACTAAACCTGTTTACCTTCATTAATGATTTTCTTGGTACTATTTAAATAAAATTTTTAAAGATAATCTGTCTGCTAAATATTAACAAAACTTTGAGATACAACTAAAGGGATTGTTCTAGCATAGAAAAGTAGGCCTAGGATACGAGTGGAAGCCAAAACCTCTTGTAGGTAACCTACATTAATCAGGAAGTAGAAGGTTCAGAAGCAGACTGGCTTCATGTCATCCAAATCATGTAGGTTGTGCCTGATGCCACTAAGCCCGTTACTGTATGTTTGGCCTCTGGACATACTGAGCTTTTCCTTTCAGAACAGCTGGGTCTGCTGAGATTCATTTCCTGGTTCTCTTCATTGTAGATCAGATGACTCTCACTTTATCACCCTTAGAGGCCACATGAAGGACAGAGCAGAAAGAGCCTCACACAAAGCTAATGTTTATATTGGGAGGGGGGCAGACTTGGCCCTCATCTTTCAAGGAGCACAACAGGAGACCAGTTGAGGCCTGAAGCCCTGTGCTGCTCCAGCAGCCCTTGAGTTACTCCTGTCCATCTTTCTGTGGGGCTCCTCTGGCTGCCTTGACTTTTGTAAATGTTTCACTCTCTCACTTGTGCTTTATCATTTGGACAGAATGCTACATCGGGGATTTTTCTCCCCTCCCGAAGGCCTCAAGGGGAAATGACTTCTGTATGCCTCATATATGATACATGGGCTTACACTCCATTCTCTTCATTGTAGCTTTTATGGAGACTTGTGGCAACTGTCTTACAAGTCAAATGTCTCTCATATCTATTAGAAACCAGTTTAAGAGCATACTTTGAACTTAGAGGGATTAGTTTCCAAAACACCAAAAATACCCAGTAATAAGAAGCAAACCTAAGTTTACTGTTAACTGAGAAAATGGCATTTCTCAGAAATGCCTCTTCTGGTCCGGCGTTACGGTGCTGGCCACATCCACTGAGACTGGTGGGTTTGAACCCAGCCCAAGCCAGCTAAACAGTGACAACTGCAACAACAACAAAAAATAGCCGGGCATTGTGGCAGATGCCTGTAGTCCCAGCTACTTGGGAGGCTAAGGCAAGAGAATCACTTATGTCCAACAGTTTAAGGTTGCTGTAAGCTGTGACGCCACAGCACTCTACCCAGGGTGACATAGTGAGATTCCGTCTCCAAAAAAAAAAAAAAGAAAGAAAAGAAAAGGCTCTTCTATCTAAAATGTACATGAAAATACATTAAAGTTATGTACATGAAAATAACTTTAAGAGGGCTCATTTTTGACTGTGAAGAAAGTGAAACATTTTTAATATTTTTGTATGATCTGAATATCTTTTTAAAACTTCCTATAATCTTGGGTTTAGCTAAGAGAAATGCTTTGGAATTGGCTACTTCTGTGATCTTATTCATTACTGGATGTTTTTGGTATTTTGGAACCTAATCCCTCTAAGTTTAAAGTAGACTCTTTTTTTTTTTTTTTTTTTGAGACCGAGCCTCAAGCTGTCCCCCAGAGTAGAGTGCTGTGGCATTACAGCTCACAGCAACCTCCAACTCCTGGGCTCAAGCAAGTCTCCTGCCTCAGCCTCCCAAGTAGCTGGGACCACAGGCACCCGGCTATTTTTTTTGGTTGCAGCTGTCATTGTTTGGCGGGCCCGGGCTGGATTCAAACCCGCCACCTTAGGTGTATGTGGCTGGCGCCTTAGCCGCTTGAGCCATAGGCACTGAACCTAAAGTATACTCTTAAACTGGTTTTTATTTTATTTATATTTTGAGACAAGAGTTTCACTTTGTTGCCCTGAGTAGAGTGTCATGGCGTAATAGTTCACAGCAACCTCAAACTCTTAGACTCAAGCGATTCTCTTGCCTCAGCCTCCAGAGTAGCTGGGGCTATAGGCACCTACAACACCTGCCTAATTTTTAGAGATGGGGCCTTGATCTTGCTCAGGTTAGTCTTAAACCTGGGAGCTCAGGCAATCTAGAGTGCTAGGATTACAGACAGAACCCACTGCGCCTGGCCCTATACTGGTTTTTAATAGATAAGAGCCCTTTGGCTTGTAAGACAGTTGCTACACGTCTCTATAAAAGCTACAGTATAGCTCAATATGAGTAAATCATTTGAAAATGTGCATATATTTACAGAATTTACTGATAGAATACCTTGAATGCATTCTATTTTACTAATATTTATACAAAACTTTAATTTTCAAATAATAGTTTTATTCCAATTATTTAGAAGTTGTAACTTAAAATTTCATCATTTAGTTAGATCATTATTCTGTGTTAAATGCAAGTATTCTATTACAGAATAAAACTTTTTTTAAAGAAAGCCACACAGGCAGCCAAGATGCTGACGTGTGGGCAGGATTACAGATGGTGGCCGTGGGCAGCGGCGCCCCTGCTGACGCGGCAGGGACTCAAGGCTGCGCTGCCGTGCCGACCCGCCCTCTCAGTCTTTGTGCGCATTTGCTTTGGGAAAGAAATGCTTCTTGATTTTTGCCTTATCTTAAACCCACTTCCTTTATCAGACATAGACCTTCTTGTGTCATCTGGACATGACTGTCCACACCCAGAACCAAATCTGCTTTGTGTGTATGTGGTGTGATTTGCACTGCTGTCAAATACAACACTAAGTATGCCTTAACGGCTACCTCATGAAATAAATACTTCCACAAAAGACAGGTTGGTGATAAAATGACTGTTTGGGGTTTTTTTGTTTTGGCCGGGGCTGGGTTTGAACCCACCACCTCCAGCATATGGGACCGGCGCCCTTCTTTGAGCCACAGGCGCCACCCAACTTATAAACTTCTTTACTTGCATTCTAAAATGTATAGGAACATAAATTTGAATACCAAAATTAGTGATTTCCTATAAAAGAAGGGGCTCAATTCTCTCATTAAGCTCACTATATGATCTGATAAAGTAGGTTTAGACAAAGTAAAAATAAATTAAGAATTTCTTTTTTTCATTTTAGAGGAGTTTTGCTCTATTGTGCAGGCTGGAATGTGATGGCCTGACCACAGATCACCACAGCCTCCAACTCCTGGGCTCAACCAATCCTCCTGCCTTGGCCTCCCAAGTGGCTGTGACTACACACATATACCACCGTTCCCAGCTAATGTTAAATTGTCTTTAGAGATGGGTCTCACTATGTTGTCCAGGCTGCTCTCAAACTCCTAGGCTCAAACCATCTTCCCACCTAAGGTTCAGAGTATAGGGACTACAGGCATGAGCCACTGTGCTTGGCCAAGAAATCTTCCTCAAAAATTTCAAGGCATAATTTATAAAGTATGTTTCCTAAGTAAACACTGGGATTACGTCCATTTTGCTCTTTTCCCACGTGAATAGCTGGAATACTAATAAAACCACAGTAGGTTTTGGCCAACAGTTAGAAAATAAAAAGCCTCCATTGGTCTCTGGTCCCATATACATTTATTTTGTGTGGACAACAATGACCTTTCACCATTTCCTTTTCCATAGCTCCTTGATTCTTGAAATAATTTATACAGTGTATAAAGTTCACAGAACTTTTTAACACTGTTCACATTTTCACATTTGTTTAAGAATACAACTAGTTGACTTTCTTCTGATTTCTTCCACTTCTGCAATCCCACATGATTATAATGTTGAAGTATACCAAGAAGAATAAGAAGTTCAAGCAGGACACAAAACACACCAGTACAGAAAATAAGTCTGGTAATTTCTCAGGAGGCTCCAGTGTGACAGTCACCAGCGTCAGAAGGACCATAGTGGTTACTGAGAAAAAAAACTGTAAGGGGGGAACAAATTATTCAGCAGTATAGATGGAAAAACTTAATGCACTGATACAGTAACACTGATCTGTAGTTATTAAATGAACAGAATTTAGGGTGAAGTGGAGGCTGAGGCTCTTCTGGTGGATCTCAACTTTGGCTTCACGTTAGAATCATAAGAGGTTTTAAAAATCTTGATGCCCAGACCAATTAAATCAGAATCTCTGGAGTACACCTCAGTACTTTTAAAGCTCTCTTGGTGATTTCCACGTGTAGCCAAAGCCTGCAGACACCTCAGACCACCCAGCACTGAAGAAAGGGATCTGGGGCAGACGTTACTGCCAGGCAGGACTAGAGTCGAGCATCCTCAGGAACTCTGGGCCCTATAGCAAGTAAAATTCTAAGCTAATGGGTACAAATGCAGTTAGAATAAATAAAGCCTAGTGTTTGATAGATCAGTAGGGTGAATATGGCTACTCTATTGTACATTTGAAAATCGCTAGAAAACAACAATTTGAATTTTGCTAGCACAGAGAAAGATAAACATTTAAGGTGATGAAAATCCCAGTTACCTAGACTTGATCTTTACACAGGTACTCTGAAAATATGTCTATCAATTTGCAGACTTCACACTAAGCCTGAAAATTCACCTACGAAAAAGTTTTCCATGTCAAATGGAAAATTACATTTCATATACACGGGATACTTCTAATGAGCTAATGCTAAAGAACAATGGGGCATATGAAAGAAAATGTCATCGTCTGGCCTCAAAGAGTTTTCATTTAATTAGGAGAATGTTAGAGATAAGATCATGTTTGATTAAATGCCAAAATGACGAGTAAAAATAATTATTCCATTGACAGTCACTGGGTTGTCAGTCTTGTCTACACCAGCGTGCTGCCCAGGGGAACTGTCTGCAGTGACGGAACGTCTCACCTGCACTCCAGCACAGCAGCTGCTAACAGGGGACTCCTGAGCACTCAACACCTGCCTACTGTGGCTGAGGAACTGAATTTGTAATTGTATTTGTTTCTAGTAAGTTTACATTTCTACATGTGTCTAGTAGCTACCATAGCAGACTGTTTTAAGTCTGCTGTAAGTTCCTTTGAAAACCAGCCAGCTCCTAAGTGTCTCATCCCTAGCACAGTATGCAAGTATACAGAAACTGTGTAAGCAAGCATAGAAGCCATGAGAAACAGCAGTAACTTTCATGAAGGAACTGAACCGTAAGTGGAACCCTGACGGATGCTTTAATGGCTACATCATGGCAGCACCGGTAATATACTGGTCATTCCAGGTATGAGAAAGATGGCTTGGTGCCCGCAACTCCATAATTAAGGCATGAGCCACATGCACTGGGACTGGTGGGTTCGAACCCAGCCCGTGCCTGCTAAACAACGACAGCAACAAAAATAGGTGGGTGTTATGGTGGGGGCTTGTAGTCCCACCTACTTGGGAGGCTGAGGCAAGAGAATCACTTAAGCCCAAGACATTGATGTTGCTGTGAGCTGTCACGCCACAGCACTCTACCAAGGGCAACACAGTAAGACTCTGTCTCAAAAAAAAGGAAAATGAGAAAGATGGGAGCCCAAAAGGCTTACAAACAGGCATAAACGGAGCCGGTATCCTCAAAGGGAAAATCCCTGAAGCAACTTTAGTGGAAAGTGAAAATTTCAGTTGATTTTTAAGAAGGGTGCCAGGATGATTCAGTGAAACTGGGACAAGTGAATAAAGTTCAACTCCTACCTCCCTCCATACACAAAATTAACTCAAAATGAATCAAAAGGCCTAAATATAAAAACTAAAACTATAAAACTCTTAGAATAAAGTATAAATGTAAATATTCATGACCACAGGATTATATAATGGTTTCTTAGATACAACACCAAAAGCACAAGCAATAAAACTAAAAACTTAAAGATATATTCAGCTTTATCAAAATCAAAACTTTTGTGCTCCAAACAATACTATCAAGAAAGTAAAACGGCAACCCATAGAATGGGAACAAACATTTCCAAGTCATAAATCTGATAAGAGACTCAAATGAAGAATACATTAAAAAACTAAACAATGAAAACTCAGATAAAAGTGGGCAAAGCAGCCAGGTGAGGTGGCTCGTGTCTCATCCCAGCACTCTGGGAGAGCGGAGCAGGTGAGTTTGACAGTAGCCTAAGCAGGAGCAAGACCCTATCTCTAAAAATAGCCTGGCGTTGTGGGCACTCTACCAAGGGTGACAAAGTGAGACTGTGTCTCAAAAAAAAAAAGAAAATGGGCAAAGCATTTAAACAAGCATTTCTCCAAAGAAGACATACAAATAGCCAATAAGCATATGAAAAGATGCTCTATATTATTAGTCATTAGGGGAAATGCAAATGAGAACTCCAATGAGACTCCATTCACACCTACTAGGATGGTTATAATTAAAAAGAAGTAACAGCTGAAGTGGCCAGCCCACCGTAATTCCAGCACTCTGGGAGGCACAGGTGAGTGAATCACTTGAAGCTTAGGAGTTCCAGACCAGCCAGAGCAAGAGCAAGACCCTGACTCTACTAAAAATAGAAAAAAATTAGCTGAGTACAGTGACACACAGTCCCAGCTACTCGGGAGGCTGAGACAGGAGGAGGATTGCTATGCACAGGGGTTTGAGGTTGCTGTGAGCTATGATGACACCACTGCTGAGATAACAAAGACTGCCTCAAAAATAAATAAACAAAGACACGGATGTGGAGAAATTGGAACCCTCACATATCCTTGGTGAGAATGCAGAATTATGTTGTACTGTTCTGAAAGTTTGGCAGTTGCTGAAAATGTTAAATATAGGATTCCTGTATGACCCATCAATTCTTGCAGGTATATATTCAAGGAAATGAAAGCATTTGTGCACTTGACACCCTGTACACAAATGTTCACAAAATATTATTCGTAATAGCCAAAAAGTGGAAATCTAAGGTCCAGCAACTGATGAATAGATAATCAAATATGGTTTATCCACATGATAGAATATTTGGCAATAAAAAGGAATAAAGTACTGATACAGGAGTAACATGGATGAACCTCAAAAAAGTTACATGAGAGACCAGTCATCAAGAACCGTGTGTTGTATGGCTCCATTTTAAGGACTGAATTGTGTCTCCTGCTAAATCTGTATGCTGAAGCCCTAACAGACAATGTGACTACATCTGGAGAGAGAGCCTTTAACCCACAGTGTGACTGCATCTGGAGAGAAAGCCTTTAACCCACAGTGTGACTCTATCTGCAGAGAAAGCCTTCAACTCACAGTGTGACTGCATCTGGAGAGAGAGTCTTTAACTCACAGTGTGACTACATCTGGAGAGAGAGTCTTTTAACTCACAGTGTGACTACATCTGGAGAGAGAGCCTTTAACTCACAGTGTGACTGCATCTGGAGAGAGAGTCTTTAACTCACAGTGTGACTGCATCTGGAGAGAGAGTCTTTAACCCACAGTGTGACTACATCTGGAGAGAGCGCCTTTAACTCACAGTGTGACTCCATCTGCAGAAAGAGCCTTTAGGCAGGGAACTAACATTAAACAAGGTCCTAAGCACTGGTGTCCTTATATGAAAAGGAACCAACACCAGAGACCTCTCCACATGCACACAAAGCTGAGCTCATGTGAAGACACAGCGAGAAGGTGGCCAACCACAAGCCAAGGGTCTTGTCAGAGAGCAGACCCTGATAACGCCTCATCCTGGACTTTTAGCCTCCAGAAAATAAATTTCTATTTAATCCACACAGTGCGGTATTTTATAATGACAATGCTTGCAAACTAACACAATCCATTTATATAAAATGTCCAAAATGGGCAAATTCACAGACAACAAGTAGATGGGTACTTTCCAGAGCAGGGAGGTAGAAGTGAGGGCAGAGTGAGGAATGACTGGTCGGGGTACTTGGCTTCTTTTAGAAGGATGACAATAATCTAAAATTAGATGCATAAATCTATGTACATACTTAAAACCATGAATTACACACTGTTTTTAATATCCTATAAACAGCTGACAGGATTACGCACTTCAAATGAGTGGCTATGTGAATTCTATATCTCAAAAAGCCTTAAAAGAAACGAAATTTCAAAAAATTATTGAAATGCTGAAAAATGGCATTCCTTAAAAACTGAACAACTTACCAAATATCGTATAATTCTGGGAAGGAATGTAAAACGTGGAAGATACTTCCTAACGGAAGTGGAAAAGGGTTTCAACTTCAGGTCTTCTTCAGAAGTCTTTTCAAATATTGAAAAGGTTGTTGCACAAACTATAAAAAATGCCATCACTGTCACAACGGAGGGTAACAGGAGTTCATCCTTCAATAGGAGAGGCAGCATGCTATAAAATTTTTAAAAAATCAAGAGAATCATCAATTCAAACCATAAACACTTTGTAAAAGAATTTTACATTAGTTTACAAGAATCATCGAAAAATATTAATTAGAAATTGGTTCAACTCACCTAAATGTTGACACAAGTAAAAACCAAGTAGACATAAAAGGAATTTCATTTAAAACTAAGCAGACTGGTCTAAAATGAAAAAGAAAAAATATTTTAATATTGTATAATATAATTTTAGCTCCTACTTGTAAAAAATATAAACCAGATGATGACTAATGGTGCTTAGCAGTTTTTCATATACCTGTTGGTCATTTGTATGTCTTCCTTTGAGAAATGTTTATTCAGATTCTTTGCTTTTTTGTGTGTGTCTGAGACAGAGTCTCATTATGTTGCCTTTAGTAGAGCACTGTGCTGTCACAGCTCGCAGCAACCTCAAGCTCCCGGGTCCAAGCAATTCTCTTGGCTCAGCCTCCCAAGCAGCTGGGACTACAGGTGCCACCACAGGCTATTCTCTTGCTGCATTTGTCATCATTGTTGTTTAGCTGGCCCAGGCCAGGCTTGAACCCACCAGGTTTGGTGCATGTGGGTGGCTCAACAACCACTGAGCCTCTTTGCCTAATTTTTTTTTTTTTTTTTGGAGAGAAAATCTCACTATGTCACTCTCAGCAGAGTGCCATGCTGTCACAGCTCACAGCAACCTCCAACTCTTGGGCTTAGGCGATTCTCTTGCCTCCGCCTCCCAAGTAGCTGAGACTATAGGCGCCACCACAAGGCCCAGCTATTTTTGTTGTTCAGTTGTTTAGTTGGCCCAGGCCAGGTTCCAACCCGCCACCCTCAGTGTATGTGGCTGGTGCCACAACCACTGTGCTATGGGCACTGAGCCTCTGCCTAATTTTTAGTCAAATTTTATATTTTCCTATTGAGTGGTTGGCGCTCCTTATATATTCTGATTATTAATCTCTTGTCAGATGGGCAGTTCACAGATACCTTCTTCCATTCTGTGGGTTGTTTCTTATCACATTGTTGATTATTTCCTTGGCTGTGCGGAAGTTTTTTAGCTTCCCATTTGCCCAATTTTTCTTGGTTGCCCACTTCAGGAGTATGACTCAAGAAGTCTTTGCCCAGAGCAATGCCCTAAAGCATCTCCCCAATGTTGTCTTTTAGTAGTTTCAAGTCTTAGATTTAACTCTTTAATCCATTTTGACTTGATTTTTGCATACGACCATAGATAAGGGCCTAATTTCATTCTTGTGCATGTGGACATCCAGTTTTCTAGCACCATTTATTGAAGACACCATTGTATCTTTTAAATTACCATTTGCAAAGGTAAGATGTATTTCTTGCTGTTCTCTATTCTCTCCCATTGGCCAATGCCTATTTTTTATGACAGTACCATGCTGTTTTGGTTATTCAGCTCTGTAGTATACTTTGAAGTTAGGTAATGTGATTCCTCCACTTTTGTTCTTTTTGCTCAAAATGGCTTTGGCTATTCTGTGTCTTCTGTAGTTCCATATAAATTTTAGGATTTTGTTTTCTGTTTCTGTGAAGAATGACGTTGGTATGTTGATGGGGATTGCATTGACTCTGTACATTGCCTTGAGTAGCATGGACATTTTAACATGTTTCTTCCAAGCCATAAGCACGGAATATCATTCTATTTTTGTGTGTCTTCAATTTCTTCCATCAACATAGTAGTTTATACTTTTCATTAGAGAGACTTTCACTTCTTTGGTTAAGTTTATTCCTAGGTATTTTATTTTATTTACCTTCTTGATTTCTTGTTCAGAGTGTTTATTATTGACATATAGAAATGCTACTGATTTTTATATATTGATTTTGTATCCTGCAACTTTACTGAATATTTATCAGTTCTAATTTTTTTTTGAGGAGTCTTTAGTTTTCTCTCTATATAAGATCATATTTTCTGCAAATAAGGATAATTTGACATCTTTATTTCCAATTTGGGAAGATTACAAGTGGACCAGGATTAAGCTAGAAAGGAAATGGTTCCTGAATGTTTAACATGTATTTGCACATTTAAGCAGAGACGTAGAGTCAGCATTTGAGTGTAAGTCTGGATTAGATATATGAGTGAAGTTACAGAGAGAGGCAGAGCTGGAGATGTAAATGTAAATTTAGGAGTTTGTCAATGGCTGTTTTATCCTTCTAGTTCCAGGCCCAAACCACAGACACACTGTGACTTTTCTCTTTCCATTATATTCTACACCCAAATCATCAGGAAACCTTCTGGTTCTACGTATACTAAATCCAGAATCAGAGTGTTCTCACATCTTCAACTGTTACTATCTTGGTCCCTGCCACCATCATCTCTCACCTGGATTATGGTAACAGCCCTGAAATGGTTCCCATGTTTTCTACACTTCCTCCATATACTCTGTACTTGACCCCCAGTCAGAGTGATTCTTTCAAAAGATTAAGTTAGATAATTTTTCTTCCTCAAAACCCTCCTGAGGCTCCCCATTCCCTTCAGAATAAAAGCCACAGTTCCTAACGTGGTCTGTGAGGTGCAACATGATTTGGACTCGTTACCTTACTGACTTCCCCTGCTAGTACTCCCCACCTTGACCATTCCATGGCGGCTCTGCTGGCCAGTCTGCTGACCCCTAAACATGCCAGGTATACTCCCATCTTAAGGCCTCAGCACTGGCCTTAGCACAGGGGAAGTCAATGAGGTAACAGGTCCAAATCACCTCACAGACCACATTAAGAACTTTGGTTTTTATTCTAGAATAATACTCTCCCAGGTACCCACCAGCTAACTTCCTCACCGCCTCCTGGCCACTCCAGGATCTCCAGTGAGGCCAACCTTGACATCTGCATTTCAAATAACAGCTGTACCCACATCCTCTTCTCCAATACTCTCAGTTTCTCCTGCTTTGTGTTATTTCTTCTTCATGGCATTTATTACACACTATTCTAATACATTATTTAATGTCTTATTTTTCTTTTTTTACTGGTGTTTATAGAAGGCAGGGATTTTTGTCTATTTTATTACAAATAAACACACGTGTTCCTAGTGCACAGACCAATGCCCAGAACGATGACTGACATGTTGTAGACACTCAATAAATATTTACTGAATGAAATATGTGTAGTGATAGATTAGCTGAGACCAGGTCAAGAGGAACTTTTAATGCTAACTTTAAAATACTTTGATCAGAATTATATTAAAGCCACACACTAACAGTGTTACAATCTGGGTACACCTATAGAGAACGGATCCCCCAGAAGTTTGAAGTCAGAGAATTATTCTGGTCAGATTTCAAATCTTGAATGGACTGCCTTTCGGTGAAGCAAAAATTCTGGGGAAAATAAACATGTTTGAAGGTAACACCTGACCTAGTTTCATCCTCTGGCACCAAGAATTTGTGTAGCCTCAGCCTTTCCAGTCTGCAAAGATATGAGACTGAGTTGTTCAGAGCTAAGAAACCTTCCACGTGGGCCAGCCCAGCTTACTGAAAAGCTCTGCACTACAGTTTTAGTCTGAGGCTCCACCTGATACAAGCAATACTGGCATCCATTTGTCATCAGTCATTCCATTCCTGTATCCTCTACAGGAACCTAGTGAATACAGGGTGAGGCGTAGAGCAGTGGTGCGTTTGGACTGACCTAGGAGAGGATTTGAGTATTCCAAAATATTCTGGGCATTATACCGCCATCTGTCACTCAGTTCTTTCTATGAAGACCAGGAAAAAATTTTAATGCTCCTAAAACAAAGTAGTCTTGTGAGGGATTGCCAAGAGGGTTAAACAAAGATTATGGCAAAAAGAAACAGAAAAGAGGCAACATAAAAATCCCTGCAGACGTACATGAGAGAAGAAAGCCACTGAGCAGACGTGGGACTGAATGAAACGGGGAAGGCAGTGGTGACCCACAGGCTGCAGTCTGGGAGAAGCCTCTCTGAAGGGCCTACTGTTTATTAGAATATGGAAAATATAACGAAGAAATAGGAAGAGATAAAGAGTATGTCAGTAATAATTCTATCAGTTGTTTTCAGTTTAAAGTATTAAGGATTATAGGCTCAGTGCCTATAGCGCAGGGGTTTACAGCACCAGCCACATGCATACACTGAGGCTGGCAGATTCGAAGCCAGCCCGGGCCAACTAAACATAAATGACAACTGAAATAAAAAATAGCTGGGTGTTGTGGCAGGTGCCTGTAGTCCCAGCTGAGGGGAGGCTGAGGCAAGAGAATTATTTGAGCCCAATAGTTTGAGGCTGCTGTGAGCTGTGATGCCACAGCACTCTACCCAGGGCATCATAGTGAGACTGTCTCAAAAAAAAAGCAAAGAAAGAAAAGAAAGTATTATGGTTTATAAAGAAGTGATAGGATATCATTCTGAAAAAGTATGACTGAAATAATTTTATACGAAGATACATTTGTGTAGATTTGGTCTACATTCAAATGAATATTTATATAAATCGTAATTTTTTATATTTTATAAACATAAATGGATACTTCAAACATTTCTACTTACAGTGATACCAAGAGAATGGACTTTTCATGTACTTGGAAAGAAAATAAAAAGAATGATAGTGCACAGCTAACCTTGAAGAAAAAAAGAGGGAAAATAAGATATTACAAAATATAACATCAAGTTAGTTATGAATCTAAATAAAAATCATTTCAAGTGAAAGCTGAAAGTTTATCATAGCTTCTATCTAAAAGTAAAATATAAACATAACATTAATATGCATATATTTTAATCATTTAAAAATAAAAATATTTTACCATGTAAAACAAGTTCATTGAGACTCGGATGTCAATAAACAAAACCACCCAATACCTCAAATGCAACCATAACTTCACCACCACCACCATCCCCCACCCCCAGAGTCTCTGACAATTTAAAAATCAAAGTATAAAGGACAGGTCAAAATCAACTGGCAATGGCTTGGCACCTGTAGCTCATGGGGGAGGCGCCAGCCACATACACTGGAGCGGGCGGGTTCGAACCCAGCTAGCCAGACGTTGTGGCAGGCACCTGTAGTCCCAGCTACCTGGGAGGCTGAGGCAAGAGAATTGCTTAAGCCCAGGAGTTTGAGGTTGCTGTGAGCTGTGACACCACAGCACTCTACTGAGGGTGACAAAGTGAAACTCTGTCTCAAAAAAAAAAAAAAATCCACTGGCAAAATAAATCTATTTCAGTGTCTTTAAAGTAGGTACTTTAGTAAAACAGACTAAATATAAATTCATAATTTGCTACGTGGTGTCTAAAAAGTACTTAAATCTATTTTCAGAAGTTTCTGTTCTGCCTTATTAGATAGATGTGTATCCAGTTTTTCAAGCAAAACGCCTGAATTATCACCTTGTACAAGCTACGCTCTGGTCTGCCAGCAAAGCCATCTACAGCTCTTCCCTCCATTCACCTCTGAGCCGCCCCTCATCCTTCTCCTGGGATAATAAATAATCTATCAATTGGTGGTGATACTCTGCCTTCTCCAAACAGCCCCACACCAGATCATAAGCACGTCCCCTTCCTGAGTAAAGTCCTCCAGCAGCTTCTCATTACACCTCCATCTGGTTCTGGTCTTCCTCTCCAATTCATCTCTTACTTTCCACCAGCCACTTCATATCTGTCCCTTTTTGCCAAATGTGTTCCTGACTTAAGGAAAATTTTGACCGGGCCCAGATCTTGAGATGGGCCTTTCCTGGCGGGTCTCACTTCTTGGCTGTGGTGTCCCTTCTGTAGGAAGGCTGCCCCACTCAGTCTGAAGGAGCACCCACCCCAAATCCCCAGGTTTCTCCATGTAGCACTGCTTTCCTCCTGGCGCTCATTACTCTCTCAGACTTTCTTGTTAATGGATTTATTTTGTTCATTGTCCATCTCCTGCCACGAGCACAAAAGACTCCAAGTAACACAGAAGAGAGATTTTATCTGTCACGTGCTTACATGCCAGGACCGAGAAGAGGACCTGGCATATTAGAGGGCCCTCAATAAATACTACCTGAGTAAACTAACTATAATTTATTCTGCTACTATACAGAGGGTGCCAAAAAATGTACACGTTTTAAGAAAGGAAAAACGTGCATTAGAATTGTAATATTCAATATATACTGATGACACTTGTTATATTGTATTTGTATCTCTTGTAATTGCAGAAGTCAAATGTGATGTATTATAATTTTAATACAAGTTTTTCCTTTCTTAAAATGCATATACATTTTTTTGGCATGCTCTGGATTAGTGCTCATACTATCGATTACCTCAATTATAGGTTTATATTGAGATGTAATCCAACCAAACTTAGGATATCCTTTTAAAGGTCTCAAAGTATATAAGAATTCAAAGCATTATCAACAAGAATGAAGTAACAAAAATCTTAAGTTTTTTAACACAGTGACTTGTTTCAAAACAGCGAATAGGCTCAGCCCCTGTAGCTCAGCGGCTAGGGCACCAGCCACATACACTGGAGCCCGTGGGTTCGAACCCAACCTGGGCCCACCAAACAACAATGACAACTACAGCAACACCAACTACAAC